GGTCTTTACAATAATCAACATTTTATGCGTACGCTTTCAGAGCATTTGACCCAAAACATTTAATTTGCTTTTTTTTTAAGTTCCCCGAAAAGTTCAGCGATAAGTGAGTGGCTTATAATGCTGAAGTTTGAGATTCCATTCTCCAGTGACCAGAGCACAAATCGTATAATTTTGCACTTAACAACAAAAGTCAGTTTTTTAATCTTTTTACCAAAAACTAGAATAATAAAATTACGCTTGCTTTAAGTGGTTATTTTTACCAGTATGTCTTTTTTATATTTGAATATAGGGATGATCTCAATAAGTATGAAAATGTTGAAAAATGAGAAATCCACTTTTGATGATTCGATATTGCATATCTATTTAGAATTATATTCTAGAAATGTTTCAATTAAATGAAAAGTATCAGTCATGGCTTCAAACATCATTAGATATTTATTTTGTTATTGTTCGAGTTTGTTTGCAGCTCTCCAAGTAGTTTAGCTATTCAGTATCAACGGTATCTTTTAAATTTTTTTCCTGTTTATTTTTGCACGAGCCACTCAAGTGGGTTGGGCATTTAGCAACAGCGGTATCTTTTATTTTTTTCATTATTGTTTATTTTTGTACGATAATTTGAGACCTTTGTGAATTGGTTCACTGGCTTAGTAACAACAACTGTCTTCATCAATATTTTAAATGATATATAGATGGGATGAAAAGATCAAAGTTGATGTCAAAGGCATTTTCGTTGTTTGAATATAAGAGACTTCAGAGCTTGCACGTAAGTTATCCATCATGTGCTTTTGAGGATTTAGCATGTATTGTTTACTTTCGGTGCATTTAAAAAATACTAAGCATTGCTCAGTTCGTTCACCGATCAGTTTCCGGATGTAACTGTTATCACCGAAATTCTTTAGGAATAAAGCAACAGACGTTATTACGTTTCTGAAACATAAAACGACTTTATTAATTATTTTTATAAAATGTACTTTTATCGAAGGTGGTAAACCACTAACTGAAGGAATCACTGCTCTATGAAACGCTGGTAATCTATACAAATTATAACTTGAAAATTAATAACAGTTAGGTTTTAACATTTAAAACAAATATCTACATTATTGTTTCTGGATATGGATTCTGGAAACGAACGTTGTTGTTGTTTTAGCGCAAAGCCACATAATGGGCTAGACCAGTGTTTTCCAAACTTTAAATAGCAGCGTCCCCTAACTCAGCAAAGTTTCCGTTGAGCCTCTCTTCACATTAAAATAATTTTCGCAAGTGACAACAGCAAAATCAACATTGTATTTATCTATTTTTAATAATATTAAAATGAAATAATATTTGTAAGGAGTGAGTAAATGCGAGAGTAAAAATAAATAACCTTGAGAGCAAAGTGATAGTTTTCTTTGGTTATCGTCGTTTCCAACTCTTCTGTTTTTTCCATCATTATTTTTGGGTATTCCAGCCAAGAGCCCCTCCCCTCAAAGTGCGCAACCCATAGTTTGGAACACACTGAGCTAGACAATGGTGGAGTGTTTGTTTGTTATGGATTTCGC